CATCCTCTGCGTTACCATCATCAACTGCATCTTCAATGCTGACAAGGGTGATCCACCCACCGGCACTGACACAGCGTATTCAGCTCCTGTAGGATTGATGGCTTAACCCACAAAAAGCCGTGGTGCTCTCAGCCTCACCTGACCTTCACTTGCCCCATCTCCAAGCCGAGCATTTCCTTACCGAGGTTGAGCACAGCCCCAGCCACCACAAGGAAGTTGAAGTCAAGTGTGCATACATCCTATATAGGTACGAGGCATGACTCGGGCACTTGCCTCAGGCCCCCCAACACACCAGAAGCTGCTCCCTCACCAGCTCCATCTCAAGTCAACCCAGCTGCACTTGACACTCGGCAGCGGCTACTTGAAGGCTGACCAGTGCGGTGAGTGGCACGTGCCATCTCAGCTCCTCTGGCAACAGCATGTTCCATCTCTCTGGGAGCAGCCACCTGGCCAACCATGTTGCCGGCACCTGCCCGAAGCATTGCTGGAGGGCCATGGTCAACATGACACTAGGTTGTCATGTTGTTTTGATGGCAGATCCACAAGCACCTATACTGCTTACTCCTCCAGACACAGCTACATTGCGGTGGCAGTTGGTGTCTAGCCATGATGCCAGGAGACCACTCGCAGCTGTGTGGAGTATGGTTCCCAGGTACACCCTCGCCATTGAAGCATGTCATGCGGATGCATGGCACTTCCCACTTGCCGGGCTCCAGCTGTGCTGGATCCGTCAGGAAGTGGTACTCCCTTCCTCTGGGTTATGTCTTTTGCATCAACTTCATTGATGCGCTGCTTGATTTCTCCAAATTCAGCAGCCACATTTAACAATTAATGATTACTTCATTAGTTGCAACTACAACAACTGCTACAGTCTGTTTTTAGCCAGGAATGTGGTGCCTCCTGGAAGCCTCTTTGCATGGCCACTCACCCTAAGCTCCTCATGGAGCGGAGAGCCCGTTGTGGATGTTACACTACTTTAACCAGGCTGTCAGGAAAGAAAACAGCATTATTTTCAGCTGCCAAATCTGCCTCTTGAACCTGGATGACCTCTCTGCTTTTCACAACTCAGCTTCAGCCTAAGGGTGCAGCCATTAGCTGAGTGATGAGCTTAGTTGATCCCTGCTGAACAAGCTCAGTTGATCCCAGCTGAACAAGTACTGTGTTTTTTTACTATTTTCTTCGTACTTTGTTGTTTTAGAATAAATTGGCAGCTATTTATTACACTTTAAATCTGCTGTGCATGTTTTATTGTGAGTGTCTGTTAGCTAGCTACTGTAGTAACACAGGTGTCAACCCGTAGCTTACAGTCTGTCCATATAAAATATGGTTTTGTCTCAGTTTTAGAGGAAAACAGCCGTATAGGTCTGATACAAAATTTTTGGTCTTATACAAGTTCCCCATAAACTCATTGCACAGTAATTCTGTGACGCTCAGATTTGTTTTTTGCTCAATATATATATTTTTTTTTACAACTTAATGGTCTAAACAGCAATCTTATCCAACTGCAGGTGGTGGGGTGTGAGTTGATTTGTTGTGTGCACGCTTACACCTGAATATACTTCCACACATTACTTGAGCAAGACTCAATTGTGCACAAACCTTAAGTGAACACGTAGCATTTGTAGTTAGCACTTGCGGTATACTCCTTGAAATATGATATTGTAGCATCCTATTTCGGCTTGTTTGGCCATGGACACGTGGGAGGTGTGGCCATACGGAGTGGCGAGCGTGGAGCACCACGGGCAGTGTCGCGGCAGCGGTAAGAAACTTAAACTTCTAAATAGTTGTTACTGCATTGACAGCTTCACTCCAAGTTCTTGAAAATAATTCTCAAACATCAGGAAAGGCAGTAAAAGGCAAAGGCATTTAAAGATTCAGGCTTCATAGTACACAATCATTAATCTGAGATGGCCCAGACAGCAACTGACCAACCCACAAAAATCCATTTCTTTTATACCTTTTCATTCCAAGATATAACATAGTTTTAAAAATAATCACATTCCCAAACCACAAGTAGGCCCAGGCCTTCACGCTGTTTTTATTACGCATATTACATTGTTTTTTTTCTAAAGAAAACTTATGGGTTATACTTGAGTTTCTGTGTGTGCTTTTCCAGGACAAGGCCCTCACACAATGTCCAAGTGTCCCTAGTTTAGACCTGGTTAGAGCACGATGCAATTTGTAACAATCTCAGGGTTACATGGGCCAAACAGAGAGAACAGCTTACCCACAGAGGGAGTCATACAGCATAGTATGATTAATTAACTTATCCTACCATTATTTTAGTAAGGTTGATGAAATCTTTTCAAATAATCTAAGAAAATCTCTCACACTGCATCAGACTGTGCTGGGCTTGGGGTGGTTTGTATGGGAACCATTATTTACAGTCACTGTGGGACGTGTGCTGCTGTGGTTCAGTAAAAGAGCTCTTATATGATGTGCTATGTTTCCTGCATCTTCTTCTTCTATGCTGATGCCTGTAGAGACAAACCTGCTCAGCTAACCTCCCTTCAAATCCATGACACTGTACAGGGCTAACACATGTGGTCAGAACACTTTCCCCCTCAATCTCATGACTCTATGTCGTCAGAGACTTTTGTCAGTTCATCACAGAATGCAGCTAGACTCTGCTTTCTCTCTCTCTCAACCCCCATTTCTCTCATACTCTTTCAACTCTCTGTCTCTCTATGTTTTATGTTTCTGTGTATTTAACTGTGAGAGGCTGTTTAACTGTCAAATAAAGTCAAAATAATTTTCTGATTGTAATTCTTATGATTACCAGACTACCAAAACTGGATAAAGTGTTGTTGCTAATGGTTTAAATGGTAGAAATATACTATACAGATAACAGTGAATTTATACAGTTTGGCCATGAATGTTTTTTTACTGTCTGTAGAGGCTGACATCCATTAATGTAAGCTAACATTCAAGAGTTGATTGGCAGTAGAACAGAACCAAAAAATAGACTTACATATATTAAATAGTAATGAACTATGCACAGTCCATTTTATCAGCTCCAGTTACTATATAGGTGCACTTTGTAGTTCTACAATTACAGACTGTAGTCCATCTGTTTCTCTGCATACTTTGTTGGCCCTCTTTTACCCTGTTCTTCAGTGGTCAGGACCCCCATGGACCCTCACAGAGCAGGTATTATTTGGGTGGTGGATCATTCTCAGCACTGCAGTAACACTGATGTGGTGGTGGTGTGTTAGTGTGTGTTGCGCTGGTCTGAGTGGATCAGACACAGCAGTGCTGCTGGAGTTTTTAAACATCTCAGTGTCACTGCTGGACTGAGAATAGTCCACCAACCAAAAATATCCAACCAACAGTGTCCTGTGGGCAGCATCCTGTGACCACTGATGAAGGACTAGAGGATGACCAACACAAACTGTGCAGCAGCAGATGAGCTATCGTCTCTGACTTTACATCTACAAGGTGGACTGACAAGGTAGGAGTGTCTAATAGAGTGGACAGTGAGTGGACACAGTGTTTAAAAAAAGTGGAGCTGATAAAATGGGCAGTGAGCATAGAAACAAGGAGGTGGCCATAACGTTATGCCTTGTTCCTTACACAGCTCGATTGTAATTGTAAATATAGAACTACAAAAGTGCCCCTATATGGTAGTGAAGTTGATAAAATAGATACAAGGAGATGAATTTAATGAAGTTGCCGATCGATGTATATTCATATCGTGCTTTAATATTCAAATGTTTGTTGCAGTACTAAAATGTGCTTGGAAGTAGTTTTTCATTATCATCTTTAAATACATACATGTCAATGACGAACATATACATAAAATACAATGTTTTACTATGTAAAAACTGATGAAGACTTCTTTATTCATATATTCTTATATTTTATAAATATATATAAAAATTCTTATTCTTATATTTTATAAATTCTCTGTTTTTTAAGGCCCAAATGAATTAAACATTATACTGCTGGGAAGAAGTGGTGATGGCAAGAGCAGTGCTAAAAACACCATCCTTGGGGAGAAATCAGCCCAGGTGTGGTCATCTGCAACTTCTTTAGTGAACCAGTACCAAGCTAAAACTAGGAACTTACAGGAGAAAACACTAAGAATTGTTGAAACGCCTGGACTGTTTGACACCAGCAATACTAAAGAAGAGTTTCAGCAGGAGGTAGAGAAGTGCATCGCACACTGTGCCCCAGGACTCCACGCCTTCATCATTATTCTCAAAGTTGGCAGATACAGCAAACAAGAAGCAAGAATTCTGGAAGAGATTAAAGAACTGTTCGGGGAGGGAGTCCTGAAAAATGCTATACTTCTTTTTACAAACGGAGATCAACTTGACGATGGACAAACCATTGAAGAGTTTGTACAGCAGAGTGTGGCACTGCAGGATCTGGTAAATAAGTGTGGAGGTCGAGTTCATGTCATTGACAATAAATACTGGAAGCAGGAGCAGGATGGATACAGGAGCAACAGAGTTCAGGTAGAGAAGCTACTGAACACCGTAGAGGAGATGGTGAAGGAGAATGGAGGACAGTACTATGGTATTGAGATGCTGCAGGCTGTGAAGAAAAATAAAAGATCTGTAAGACTGATTAGATTATTTGAAAACTTGAAGAAATATACTCAAGGAAAAGGTTGGGCAGCTGTAGTGTTGGCCTCTGTGTTGTTAGTGGGTGTTTATTTTCATCACAGTTGGTACGGGTTATTTTATTGGTAGGGTACTTGTAATGATAAGCATACTTGGGGATGAAACTATGTACAATGTGTGCCATATTAAAAGACGTGTTAAATTGATCTTGGGACACATTTTAATAATAACAATTGTGTGATAATCAATGCAAGCCTTCATGAATATCTAATCAATAGTAACCTGAACTAAGTAGATTAAAATATTGAAACAATGTAGGCTCCTGTGTGTAAATAAAAACTTTAAAAAAATAGTGTTTTAAATGTGTTAGATGTGTTCTTTTCACTGTAAACCAGAGTAAAATCACAGTAATCTACTAGTAGCAATTACTCCAGCAATTAACTAGTTTGTTTCTAGTTTAGTTATTTCTAGAGTAATTTACACCCGTTTTCAAGTTCATGAGGGATTTGAGAAATTTCAAAATGTGAAAGGCAAAAAACTGACATTTACACTACCCAGATGTGAATAACTATTCTCTGATACAATCCCGGAGTTTTAGCACCATTTTAAATAGGCAGCTCAACCAATATTCAACACACTGGTTAAAACATCTAAAATTTAAGGTCATACTTTAGTGTTATATCACATTCTCAACTAGAATCTCAAGTAATTTTAAAATATTTTGTGTTTAGGTCATTTGACATCACAACCAGAATCCACAAGAAAAAGATGTCACATCAACGTTGTGTTTCTGCTGGGTAGTAATACCCTTTTGGCAGATATGACAGATTGCAAACACTTTTTGTAATCAGCTAAGAGTCTTTCTGTTCTTGTTTTAGGGATTTTTGCCTACTTATTTTTGCAGAATGCTCTTAGTTTTGGGCTGTTGTGCATGCTTGCATGGACAGTATGTTCTAATTTTTGAAATGTTCAATGATATTCATGTCAGGGAAATGTGGGGGCCATTCCTTGTGACAATTTTGATGAGCAATGTAATGACTAAATTAAGTTGTCAGACTTTACATCTGGAAGCGTGTCCATTATTTTTAAAATTCATCACCCCCCCGAATGATTTATGACCATTGATTTATGACCCCCTGTGACGAACAGGTCAGTTTTGATTAACATGTCAGTTTTGATTAACAGGTCAGTTTTGATTGACAAGTCAGCAGGGTTTTAACGACACCCACACCCCCCAACATTTATGACACCTGAGTATGTGTGTGTGTGTTTGTGTGTGTGGCTTGCATATAGTATTTAAACAGTCACCCCATTGGTGGTTTTGTATGTTTTTTTTTTGTTGCAAAATGTCTACTGCTACTGTAAATCAGACTTTTCTTAGTTACACCAACTGTTAGTTCTAGTGGTAGTGAAACCAATTTGGTTTTTGTGCCAAGGAAGAAACGATATGGCAATGCATTTGGTTGCAGGCCGTGCGAGTACTTCAAGGGTGTTAAGATTAACCTATTTGATTCTCTGGCTTATGACGTGTGTGAGGAGGGTCAAACAGAATCACCACCTTCCTGCGGTGTTTGTTAAAAGGGGACTCCAGCCATTCAAGGACGTCAAGACAGGTCTATCACTTAAGCCGTCATGTTTGAGGATTTTCTTCCAGCAGACCATCCCGACAACCATGGGCTTCCGTGGTATAGAAATTATCAAGTGCCGGACTTCGATTATGCACCGCTCAACATGGGACGTGGCGTTGTTAACTACAGCTATGATGAATCGGCCGCGATCAACGCAGTATCAGACAACAGTTGGCTGGATCAATACGGTGACGATCTTAGAAGTATGAACATGACATACCTTTTGGAGTCGTTGGAAGGGTTGGTGTGTAAACATCAGACGTTGCCTGCAGGTAATGAAGATGGTGAAACACTCGTCGAAGCTCCTGAATGCAAAACTATATCTGAGCCAACTGATGATGTGGATGGTCAAGTATGCACTACAGCGTTAAAACTGATAAAGTCTGCTGTCGTTGTAATCCTACAGCACATCATAAACAACAAACATAAGGAAACGTGTCTCGGTTGAGAAGTGGAACACCCTCAACTTCGACATTCATGCCTGTTTGAGCTGAATATCTTCTTTTTTGAAAAATACTATAAAGATATAGCACAGACATTGTTTACACCCGAGTTAAAACATGCCATAACGGGGCTATGGAATACATCTGCCTCTTCTAAAAATTCAAGGATGTGCTGAAACAGTTGTCTGTGAATTACAGTGTGAGCCATACATTGTGGGAAAGCTACAGGAAACAAGAGAAAACCTTGTTGATCAAACATCCGAACAGTTTGTCGCCGACGCTGTTGACTGTTGGAAAACAGGCTCAAAGACTTGCAGTACTGTTTAAGGAAAAAGGGGAATGTTTGTGGACCCGAGAGTCTGTCAGACTGTGTTTTGAAACACTGTATGAACTATGAATAGACAAGTTTGTTGTATAAATGTATTGATGACTGTGTGGATGATTTTAGCCTCTTTAATAGCGTGCATGATGTTGATGCTAAACGTTTATAAAATTTCAAGAATCAAATGGATAGTCAAATCAGCATCAGATGAATGATGCCACTTGACGCAGTTATGTATAGATTCTAACAAACCAACCTATGTGACTATCAGTAAGATTTTATCTCTTATGCCTAAGAGTCACAATACAGTAAAAATGACAATGTGCTTTGCCTATGTACATACATATTAGACGTTTGGGTGATAAAACTTTCAACAAAGAAACCAATTAATGTTTGTATAGTGATTGAAACATTTGTTGAATATTTGGTTGAGAGAAATGTAGAAGTGTGTGTAAAAATTTCTAGATTTCATTGATTCGTTGTGAGTTGTGAATAAAACAGTAAATCAAACAAAAATTGGGTCATTATTTTCAGCAATGTCATCTATCAACATGTCTTATGAGAGCAGCTTATTACACGCCACCAGATTCTGGCTCATTAGGTGGTAAAAATTGTTTGAAACAGGCTGTTTTAGAGGATACAGGAGTGCGTCTGTCTGACCAACAGGTTTCAGATCAAGTTAGCTGGCGAGGATGCACACACGCTTCACAAACACATACAGCATAATTACAGAAGGAACAGGGTGGTAGTATACAGTATTGACTCGCAATTCAAAGCCGATCTTGTTTATATGAACGCATATTCTAAGGAAAACGATGGTTATATATATATATATATATATATATATATATATATATATATATATATATATATTATATATATATATATGTTGACATGTATTGACGTATTTAGCAAATATGCATGGGCCTGTTTGTTAGAAAATAAGTCGGGTTTGGAAGCTGCTAGTGCATTTGCATCCATACTAGCCGAGGGTAGAGTGCCTCAAAAGTTACAGTCTGATAGTTGAAAAGAGTTTTTTAACAAACATTTTCAAAACCTGGTATCAAAAAACAAAATTACGCATTTTGCTACAGGTAGTGAACAGAACGCTGAAAAGTCGTATGTGGCAATATCTAACAGCTATAAATTCCAAAAGGTACACTGATGTTTTACAAGACATAATGTGCTGGTACAACAACAGTTATCAAAATGATGTAGTGGACATACAAAAACCTTAAAAGATGTATCACTTTGTGAATGTGTTCAGTACCCCAATAGACAAACATGGGTGACAACGGTTTTTGTATTACATTGCCATGTAATTCATCTATGACTGTATACCCTGATAATCAAATTTCTAATTCTAGAACAAAACTGGTAAAACCTATCGATTTGAAAGGTAACTGGTAAGTGGGATTGGTAGAGTATAAGTACCTGCAAACATGGGAAACATTCTGATGGTACATTTACAGCAATTGATAAAAAATTAGAAAAAAACAACCCAAATAACACTACCTACCAGATATTATAACAACATACCCATGTTGATTGATGAGATAAATTTTCATCTAGTGCCACATTCAGTACTTCTTGGTTATGAGCAAATAAGGCATAAGGTTTATATTAAGACAAGACCTGGTATAAGATTCATATTTGATACAAAACTAGCCATTATTTAAGGACTAAAACCAGGGGTGATGCTAGAGTCTGCGGTTAAAACAGGTGGGGGGAGGGGGTGCCTTTCAGAAACAGGATGCACCACACCCTGCTGACATCTATGTGGGTTTCTACACATTTTATGTTTACACTGACGTCCACAGAGCGTAACTCACCAGCGAACTGCATAAATACAGACAGCATGTTCTCTGCTCCACCAGGGAGAGTAATATTTTAGATCACTGCTACACTGTGTTAAAGGGGGCCTATCGCTCTGTTCCCCATGCTGCTCTGGGCCTGTCCGATCTCGCTAATCCACCCTCCAACCCAGCCAGCAATCACCATCCGTACACAGAACTGTGATGGCAGAAAACAACTAAGACACACTTTAACGACATTGCTATAGAAGTGAAAACTGATCAGAACCAGCACGTCAATTTTACCCACGGGAAAGTGATTGCAAAACTACACTTTAGGCCTGTAAAACATCCAATCAGGTTTTAAATGGAATCTTTCAACATTCATACCATGGACCCGGAACGCTATGTCTCTTACTACCCAAATCAAGCAGGTGGTATCATGCCTGGCCATGCAGGCGGCCCTGCAATGTATGGAGCTGGATTTTTAGCAATTTGTTCAGAATGGCTATACCTCTGTTCAAGAGGGGGTTTAGTATAGCCAACCACATCTAAAAACAGCGGCTAAAAACATTGTTGTGATATAGTCAGCAATGGCCTGACACAAGCAATGTGAAACAATCAGGATGGGCCTGCCAAGTGAATCAAGTGACCCGAAAAACACACAGTTTCAAAAAGGAAGAGAAGGAGGAAACAGACCACACGATCATCCTGTAGAAAGACCCTAAATACTATTTTCTGATACTGGCTCTGCTTCAATGCATGTCTGAAGAATGTATTAAATCAGAATTGGACTTGTTTGCAGTAGAAGAAAGTACCAACCACTTGTGGTCAACATTGTGTGTTTTTCTACACCACATGTCTAAAGCGTCGAGTTACGAAGATGTAATATCTAAATATAGTTTTGATTTTAAAAAATGACAATATGGTTTCAACATTTGTGAAAAATTTGTATCTGTGTATTTGTAAGAACAAATTGTTTAAATGTGGCCAGCATGTTAAAACAGGACGGATGTTTATTGTGAAATTTGC